GATTTCTGAACTTTGGGATAGTCTTAAAATGCTGCCCATTTCACAATGACTCAGTGCATTGAGTGGATAGGTATCTGCACTGTTATCAAAAGGTTTGTAGCGAGTTCCTGCCTATACTGGCTTTCCACCAGCAAAGGCCTTAGAATAAATCAGAACTTTGACCCAGTCAGCACTTCTAAATCACAAAACCCAGTAGCTGATGGTGACTTCTTGGTTCTGTCTATTGGAAATCTGCTGTCAAGTATTTGTTTTGTAATTTGTGGTGGTGGTGAGTCGATGCTTTGAAAATTTGCCCCTTAGTCTATTGACTTTACAGTGCTTTAGCAGAGGCATGTGTCTAATGATGCCTGTGTGGTGTCCACATCACATGACAAGATGCTCAATAGCTTCTGCAAATTACTAGTAGTTACATAATGGGTAAGCAGCTGACACCTATTGGAAAATACTATGCTTCATTAGTTGCCACCTAGTTTAAACTAGTTAAAGTAAAATCCCAGTTATCTAAATTAATATAGGTACAGTGATACTCGGTGCTCCCTTCAATCTATAAAAAATCTGTGTATTTCTGTTAAAGAAATTAAATTACTTTGCAACAAAACTGTTAATGACAATAATGTAGATGTACTGTATTAAAAAATGTTGTCAGCAATTTACTAATGCCATTGATTTGTATATTTAATGTGAAAAGTGTGCAGCCAAACTAATACCAAATATAAAAGAATCAAGAAAATATTTTTTCATTAAATGTAGGACGTATTATTAAAAACGTTATCTAGTTCCTGGACATCCTATAAAATTAAGATCACACAAATTTCTTAATGCTTTTTAAAATAAGAACTGTAGGTGAATCACTTTGACATCTTCTTATATTAGACCCTTCTTCCATTTTAGCAGCTGTGATATGTGTTTCATACATCCATTTTGTAAATCTGTACACTTGAAATGAACAGATCAAAAGAGCTGCCATGACTTTCACCCGTCTGTGAAATTTCCTGCTTCAGTTTTCTGGGTTATGTTGTAGTTGCTGCACTGAAAACGTCTTAATTGTTTCTGTTATCAGGTACTGCTATACCCAGCCTGGTCCAAACACTCAGTCAAGAGCTTCCTCTTTAATGAAAGAAGTATGTTTGTTGGCACATGGTGGCATCACATGTAAAAGCAATGTGCTCTTAGCTGTAAATGAGTGTTTGAACAAACAACTGGTAATACAATCCTAGTACTAGTGAAATTGTTACCAAGCAAATAAATATATAGCTAGACGACAAGACCGTGTCACTTTGTTTTTTGCAGCATTGTACCTGATTTGTTTTAGATTACTGAGACTTCAGAAAATTGGCCCTAAGGGATCTACTTGTAATGTGGCTTTGGAGGTCATTGTATAAATCCTGTGGATGTTCACAGGGTGCTCCAGTCTGGGTGGTTGTGCTTAAAACACACACACACAGGAGCTGTCCGGTGCTGATTTAGTTGATACAGGAGGAGCTGTCCGTAACTCCAGCTCGGTAGTTGGGCTGAGTGTAACCTGTGTTAACATGATGGTGTCAGAATGAGGCCCAGCTGAAAACAGTGCTGTCATGCTGCTGCTGGTGCTACTACTACCACTACTACCACCACCACCAATATCCTTCTACATATGTCATACCTTTCTAGGGAATCCCTTCCACCACTACCAATATATAGCACCCACCTGGATGATGCAAAGGCAGCCAAAGTACACCAGTGTGCTTTCCAGACTTCAGCTATCATTGGGGAGAAAAACAGACCCTTGATGTATCTTAATATAGGTGTAGGACATTGGATCCATTCCTAGCAAGCTTATTTCAGCTGTGTCTGCTACTCTGCCTTCCACAGTCCGTACAATTGAATAAAAACTTGCATTTCATTGATATGGCATATTTACTGTATTTTGTATTCTGCTTGAATTAATGTTGCTTTTAGTTTAATGAAAGGGAGCACAACCTGACAAAGGATTTCTTTACTCAAGAGTTTCTTTCACTCCTGAAAATTTTGAATGCACTCAGTGCCAAAATTATATTTGTTTTGTGAGGGATTGTTGGATGCATGTTGGATTAATATTTTTTAGTGTATCACATTTATTTGATACGTTATACCTAAAGTCCAGAGTTTTATTGATTCATTTTCAAACCTGTTTTTCAGTCTTCCAGCATTAAAAGGTTGATTTTATTTTAAAAAAGTGGCTTTTCTAAAGCCACTTATGGAAAAAATCATCCCATTCTGGTACCTAAATCATCTCGGTCAAACACATAATTGACATAATTTACTCACATAAGCAAGCAGATTAACAGCACATGGCTATTGACACCTAATCACATTTCTGTTATAGTCAATAATATCATGGCCAATGCTCAACTTTATTGTATCTGATTTTTGCCACTCTCAGACCACAGATTAATCAGACTGTTTTGCTCAATGAGTTGCAGACAGACAGAGTTACGTTTCTAAATCTAGTGTATCCTAGTGGAAGTAACCCATTTGCTGTACCTGGCTCAGGGGGAAGTTTTATACTGTAGGCAGAATACATCCTTTGTGTTTAGTTATTTGCTTATTTTTTAAATGTGCTTAATTGTGCTATTATAAGTAATAGTACTGAAAGGCAGGCTGTGTAGTCACAGCTATGTTAAAGGTAGGACATACTGTAGCTGCTATTCTGTGCCTTTCCACTGACATCTAGAGGACTCTAGTTATTGAAACGTGGTGATACTTTACAAGAAGCAGCACAAACTAGTTTTTCTCAAGTGAAAATAACATTACTTATTCACAACAAAGAAACAACACAGATGTTTTATAGCCCACCCCAGTTGTACTGCAGATATGCATATGTTACATACATTTGTAAAGAGGCAAACTGGAACAAACCGCCCAACCAAAGTTGTCAAAGTTCATCCTGGCTTTAATCAAGAAACAACTGGGGCAAAATATCTGGATCAATCTTTGGATCATTGGATTGAATAACAGTTGCAAGTCAAGGTCGTGTGGTTTCTCTGTGCTCTCTGTGCAGTAAAGCAACAGTGCTATTTTTTACATTTACCTACCCAGCTTCTCAGAACCACAAAGTGCTCAAGAATGTGTGAAAAATTAATAATATTCCAGATAAGTTATAATATATGTGACATAATATATTGGTCTAGAGTTCTGCTTTGCTAACACAAACCTGAATAGATGCTTCATCTTTGCTAGGCCTCATCAGCATGGCATAGATGAGATCAGTGAAACAGGCTTATATACAGAATGTATCTTATAAGGAACAACTTTCAAAGATGCGTTTTTTAGAGCAAGCAGAAAACACTCAGTTATGGGGACTTGAATATTAATTAGCTCGGACCATTTCACACTGCTGGAACGCTGAGCCATCTAAATAGAATTCTGATTTCACAATTTGTAGAAATATAAAATATGCCATCAATGTAGTTAAGATGCCATTGAATGGCTGTAAAATGTTTTTCAACAGATGCTTTAGAATGGGAGGCATATGATGCTTCTGTTTTATTCCCATGCTAACACGTCTATTTAAGTGTAAACATTTCCATTAAGGGAAAAACAATTAATTGAGGATACATTCACCTAATGTTGTAATATTGTCTATTGGGGTTTTCTTTACAGCCTTCTCATCAAGGAACGGCTTAAGTGTCAGTTTAGTACAATTTGTTTAGTTTAATGATTTTTAAATCATTGAATCCTTGTATACAAAGCAAAATCCTTTCCTTTTTTCAGTACATATGGTTCACTACTCATCCTTGGCTTTACATTTGCAAATGCAGCTTTCATTAATATTTATAAAGCTTATCATCGTGGTTATAAATTTTGGATTATTTATCCAATTCCTTTACCAGTCTTTTTAATAATAGTGTAGCCTCATTATTTATTTGCCTTTGCCTGCCACCTTAAGCACATCTATTGTTTGTAGAGAGCACAATATGTCCTTTATTTTTCCTTAGAGTGTCAGGTTGTAAGATATAAATCAGAAAAATATCTTTAATCTCCTTTCTCCCTGCTGCGGTTGTGAAACTAAACAGGGCATAGGACTCTACAACATGATATCTCATATCAACAATCAAATTTATCTGTTTTTAATGAAAATGGCACCTTCTCTAGAAGGAGGGAGGAAGATTAAAAGTCCATGCTTGCCTTCAGATTTTTCATTCTACACAGGGGCTCTGGTGGAAACAAACACTAAAATGTCTACTAAGAAAAAAGATAATTGAACTCTGTTGTTATCCCATTGTCATATCAATTTGATTTGTTGTGGTCATACTTAACATGCCCTTTAAGAAACAAGTTTGCACTCTATGGCTGGGGCATTCATTTTCAGTGCATACTGTAGCAGTGTATGCACTCGACAGTGTTTCTTCTGCCTGCTAAGCTACAGTACCTTTCTATCCACATCTCCCTTCTATCTGTCATTTTATTTCCTTTCTGTTAGGCTAGTATTTATTTGTTCTGCTGAAATTCTATTTTCCGATTTCAACAACTTTCAACGAGAGAACAATTTCCGCTTTCCTAGACATTCAAATACAAATGTTAACAAATGAAGCAAGCACACACCTGTTCAGAAGACAAAACTGTTTTATATCTTGCATATTTTATGGCGTATTCAAGAAGGCCTAGAACTATTGCTTGTACTGTAAAAAATCCCCGCCACACCATTAGAGCAATCCACCTATAGTACAACTGTGTAGTAAGCACACTAAGACTTTGTATTTTCAGAGTACTATGAAAAGAATAGTTATTATACTGTATGTTTCTTGACAGCTGGTGTATTTTATTGCAGTACATGCAATAATAATTTCATAACATGCCACAGGGTACACAGGTAATGGGATGAGTTCAGATTCCTAATAATTTGCCCAGAACCCTGCTCTTCCATCTTGTTGTTCACATTTGTGTCCATGCTGTAGTGCCCTGTTGTGTTCAGAAGGATCTCAACAGCATTAACAGTGCCTCCCTTAACCAAGCGACCATCTTGTGTTGTGTGCTTTCAGATGGAATCAGTGTGACTGGCCTACCCATCTCCAGCCCCCTGCGTCAAGTCCTCAAACCGCGGGCTGAGAGCAAGACGGTCAACCCCTCAGAGGCCAGCAAGGCGGGGGAGTATAACCACATCAAGGTACTGTAGGACCGCCGTCTCATAAGTGATGCGAAATGCAGTGGCGAAGGACACATTTTTCATCTTTCAGTGTGGGGTTAATGTGTCTTCTATAAGCGAACAACTGAACACGCCAGATTTTATACCTGTGCAACATGTGTGTTTTGGATTTTTCCCTTGAATCTGACTTTCACAACACTTCTGCAATGTTTTCTAATGATAGGCTTTTTTTTTTACCAGGACAGAATGAATAAGTCAGGCCAGACCACCTTTTTTTTTTTACTTCACCAAACCTAAGATTTTGCTGCAATTTCCCCATTTTAAATTCATTGTGTTTTCCCCCCTGCTACTGTGAGTGACTGAAAAGCAGTGTCGAATTACCTCCAGCTGAGATTCAGAAACAGCAATGTGAACAGGGATTAGATTAGCTGTCTTGACTGTGTGAGTTTCAATGTCATGCACAGAAAAAAACCTGCTTTTTGTTGTACAGTTGAGTATGAGGTATACAGTATAGAATCTATTGAACTTGGTTTATATTCGTTTTTAATGCTTTAATTAGCAAAATCTAATTAGGGGGGCAATTAGCAATCGGTAGAAAACAAACTTGGCAAAATGTCCAAGTAAGGAAAAAATGATCAAATTAAGCAACATGCATTTTATGCTTTTTGTTCTAATCATTTTGTACATGCATTTGTGATTTGTGTGTGTTTTTTTTAGTTTTAGGGAGATTTGCAAATATTAAAATTAAGTTAGTGCTTTATGGATCTTGATTGTATCAAATAGTTAGTAGATATTTTAGCATTTTAACTCCTGGTAAATAAAATTGCTGAGTACTTTAAACTTCTAGTCATAAACGAGGAATTCATGTTTTCATTATACTGTAAGTTTCCTAATTGGACAGTTTGTCTTTTATAATTTTCTTCTTTCCTTTGAACCTCTGTTTCACTAATTAATTTTATATCAGGCTTTGAAGAGTTGAAAGTATATAAAAAGATACAAATTATATTATTGTGGAGCTTCAATAGGAGAGACACATATAAATATAAAGTTTAAATCTGAGCTCTTCACCCTCTTTGTCTGCAATGAGAAAGATTGTTTGTGTGAGCCTTTTGTCCATCGCTGCTGCTTTAAATCGGGACGATTCAAAAACTCTTGAGGTTACTGTGTAATATTGAAACTCAAACCAGACTTAGTTTACTGTTCATTTCAAGATGTAATTTTGACTGAACCTTCTGTGTACTCCAGTACAAATATAAACGGACCCAGCAGTGTTTTAACTCTTTTTCAAGACTGAAGTAAAGTAAAATGAGTCCATTCCAAATGTTTGGTCTGCCTTGCATTTTGGTCACCTGTGGTTAGGAGTGTATGAATAAGGTAAGAAAAGCTGTAAAGTATAATCAGATAATGCAGTAGCCCAGCTTGGATATTTCACATGAGCACTAGACAGTTCACTGAAAATCTGTAGTTAAAAACCACAGCAAAGTCAGTAGATTGCAGGGGTCATTTTCCACTGATCCTTCCAGCTAGCTGTGCTGCAGTGCTTTAACTACATTTGAATGAGATTGATGACAGCGGTGCATTAGTGGAGAGATTTAGCTGAACACCCTTTCTCTCAATTCTAGGCAGTCAACATAAACTAATAGATAACACTGCATCAGCTGATGATTCCCTTGCCTGCAGAAATTTGAAAAGCACCAGAGTATTACTATTCCTGTACCACCATTATTAGTTTATGATTAAAACCTTAAATCTACAGTTGAATATTTTTAGAAATAAAATGTATGCTTAAAGTATTAATCTCGTAAAACAAAACCATTTCCATTACATGTCCTTTGGGTGTGTTTTACTTCATGCTTTGGTGTATAGTTGAGGTATTTTGGTTGATAAATGTATGCACTGGGAACTGAATTATATAGGCACAAAACACCTGTCAGGGTTGTGAACACTCAAAATACTGTATATTCCTCCTTTAAAGTGTGACGATGCAAGTTTAAAATGTTGTGTTGCTGAGGTTAAGTGAACAAACTGGTAGTAAATTAATTATTGAGTGTGCTGTAAGACTGGTATGTTAAATCACCACGTTTTGCACACAGAATGAAAAAAAGGAATTCCGTTTTTAGTGTGCAAAAATTTCATGTGCTGTAACAATAAGTAGCTGAATTCAGTTTTTCTCACAGCTTACCCGCAGACTATAAGTAATAATTATATTTGCATTTCTTAAATGTGTTAACTAATTTTGGAAGTGTGCTTTACTAAAAAATGCCTGCTATTTGTTATGCATTGCACGAAAATGTTTTATTTCAGTTTAATATACTTTAGTTATGTCATTTTTGTCCTGAACTACAGATTGCTTTGACTACGGGAAACATAATAGAAACAAATTGTGTGATAAGGGGAACCCAGATTATTGTTTTATAGAGACAATATTAGCAGATTAGTTGTCCAGGCTAAGGAATGACACTCTCCTGTCAGGAACTCTTTTAACTGTATCCTGATATCCCAGAGTGAGACCTGATGCCCAAGTTCAGGTGACCAACGTACAATCCTACTTAATGCACTCGTCACCTGCTCTTGGTGCTTGTTGCTACACATCAGCTTTTATGTTCTTACCCCAAGGCAAGAAGAGAGGATGTGTCTTTCTCATTCATCTCTGAGCAGGAAGGGCTGCAGAGCAGATCAGTATGAGTTCATCTTCTGCAGATTCTGACAGGCGCATGCCACTCTGCTTCATTCACACCAGCTTTATTTAAACCTGCATTGACATGTGCAGGTGAGAAGGAAGAGGGACTGTGAGGGGCACTTTTAATTAACTAAAGACTACTTTATTATTCAGCTCTTTAAAAATGCATAAGCCTGAGCATTCAAAGAACCTTTGCTTTGAATCTGTCAGACATACATGCTCTCTGGTGACTCACGAAGAATAAAAGTAGAGTTTTGGCTGCTTACACCAACACTTTTTATTTCTTGTTTCTTAAGATTTATTTTCCAAATTTAAATCTTGCTTTTGGCTGCATGAAGAGATGCATTATACATATAGGCCTGCGTTTTGTGAAAATACATTTGACTTTTTATCAAAAGCTTGACTCAAGGTGAATAGAAAGTATTGTTTTGCAGTGTCAGTTATGTTCTTGATATTTTGATGCCTTCTTGAGTTAAATTATCTCTTTTAATAAATAATATTTGTGTTATTTGTCAAATGGGGTTAGTTGTATCTACTATTAGGACTAGATTCTAAGGTCCTAATTTTAGAAATGTCTAAATATGTTAAACCATAAAAAATACTTTTTCACCACACTATGTATTGACAGAAGTCAACAATCTAGTAGAGTTGCATATTATTCATATAATTGTTATACAGCCTAACAGAAAATACATTTATCATGGGTTATCACTATTAAGGATTTTTAGTAACAACTTTTGGTTTTAAATGGTGAGCTCATGACATATCATAGTAGTGTGTCATTCTGTATATTTATTTACAAAAACAAATGCTGTTGGTTTATTACGCTAGTTCATTTTGGTTTGGGTTGCACCAATTATTTTTCTCTTTGTAAACTCCTTGATTTGGAATAGTTATGTATTGACTTGGCTTTGTCAGTATATCTACTGTGCCAGCATGGTCAAAATTAAAGTACCATGGTTGCACTTGTCAGAGCAATTTGTCATTTTTTGCACAGCACGTCTCACAGTGCTGAAATAAGCTTTAGCATTGATTACACAAGGAATGCATCTCTCACTCTTAACTGCTAAGGCTCAAAGGTTCCTGGCAAATCCCAGGAGTTGCTAAATCAAGCTTGCTTGGTTATTGTGGCTGTTAACAGACTGTTTGCTGCCTCTTGTGAATCACAGTTACAGGGGACTGATGCTTTCACCAAGACCAGGCTTTTCTTGACTATTCAGATCAACCTGGGCTCTTTATTGGTCGAGCTATTTAGCAGGCACAAAGAGTGTTTTAAAGAAATAGGATGATTAACTTGGATATTGTTTCTTAACTCACAAGTGGTTGTGTGTGTTCTGTGTTCAAAATACAGTAGTTTTTAAGGTGTTTCAACCTATGAAGCATGAGCTGTGAATTCAACTGAACACATGCACATATTTTCTTAAAACCATACACCTGTGTTTAAAAAGAAACCCTTTTTGTATATACTGTATGGCCTTTTTTTATCATACAATGAACTATTTTACTCTCACGAGCATTAGAATGTAATATTTCTTTGAAAATGTATTTAAAGTGTTTTAGAATTGTTGGATTTAGAATTACCATCTGCTAGCAAAAGAGAAGCAAAAAGAGACAATACCTTTCTTCTACTGATAAAAATGTATTTCGTCTCATTGGTGACATGCAGTCATATGAAGTGCCTCTTTAAGTTTTAATAGCTGAGTTTATTTAATACCCTAGCTTAAAAATATTTTTTAAGCCCCAGTTTCAATTTTTAAATGATCATGTGATGCATGATGATGAAGAATATTATCCTATTTCACTTGAATTATCTGTATGTAATCCATATGTTAATTGGTCTCTGGAAGGAATATTCATGATATCTATGACGTGCAAATATTTTGTTTGACAAAACTGATTTGAGTGCATCTTACATATTCCCACAGTGTGTAATTTATTTCAAAATATATGCACTTTCATCCTCTTTGAATATAATTTTGTCTTTCTTCCTCCTTTGGCAAGATTCCCCATTCAGCATCCTTCGGTGAAACATTCGTTTTTCATTAGTACTACAAAATCAGCATTTTTTCTCTAGTGTTCACTGATTTTGTGGGGGCATTGACAGTCGTCACACTTTTCTGGATTGACTTAGGTTTTTCTGTGTGTTACCAACACAAATTAATAAGTGAATTGGAAGGGATTGATCTCACCCTTGTCTTTTGTACTCTGGAAATGATTTTGTTTGTGTCCTCTTGCAGGCTATTCTACATATGTACTTCATGTTGCTGTTGTAATACTATTTAGCAAAGAATCTGTTGTTTCTGAAAATATATATATATATAGTGCATACAGTATTCCATTA